CAAACCATTCTATGATTCTATGATTTGTAAGCAAAAATGAAACAACTGATTCATAAGAATGTTTCTGCTGTTGGGGGAAAAATGGTCTGTGTTGCAGACAACGTGCTATGAATACAGCATGTGTAAACTATTCAGAGTGTTTACAAAACACGAGTAATATTTGATTAGCAAATATCTCTATCTTGATATCACGAGACCAAATTACCCTGGTTTTGGTCAATATTTTTTATTCTGAACCAATACTGCAGTCAGCAACTTAAGAGAGCAAATTCCAGCTGCTGTCAGCAATGTCAAAGTTAGTTCTCAGCGTCTGAGCTTGCCTACGCTGAAGTCACTGGTCATTTTACTGGATCAGGGTCAGAAGGGTGGTTTTCATGAAAGCAACTTGTTTTTTTCCCCCTCCCCTCTCTCCCTACTAGGCAGAGTTTGGCCCTTTCTTGGGGATGACTTAATTGAGTGATTTCCATTTCCTTTTTTTGCAACGACAAGCATGTGACTTCACTAAAGGTGGAGAATAGGACCAGTCAAGACTTAATAAAAATGACATTACTTTAAAAGTATATGTTTTGATACTTCAGGCTTCTCTGTTTATTCTAATAAAATTTAAGAACAGATTAGTTAGTTTTGCATTACTGGGATATATTTGTTTGTGAGACAAGCAGTAGTCAAACTTCTGACTGTGTAAAGGCACTTTATGTCCTGTTTGTGAAGATGATGAGCAACCATTTCCTTCCCTTAAGCAGTTGATTCTAATACACATGGTAGATAGTTTTCAGTTTTTCAATTCAGAAAAGTCAATGATTTATGTAGCTTTTTTGTGGGGCATGTGATCCTGACCATTACTTGCCATATAACACAACTGAAGAAATAGATTTATATACAGAAATATTCTTTAAGAATTAACCTATGCTGCATGGACTGTAGCTGTGGTAAATCTGTGAGAGGTAGCTGGGGAGCAGGGGGAACTTTTGGCAGGCAGCAGCCTTTCAGGGTAGAATAACGGAAGGCATGTCCAACAGCATGTTAACTGAGGGGGAAAAAACCCACCTTTATCCCTCTTGATTCTTCTAGTTCTTTCTAATTTTACAGTAACTTGAGTACAGTTTACCTGCTTTGTTTTTTACCTGCTTAAAAAGTGCTCCATGTGAGTCTGCTGGAAAGTTCACCGATGTTCTACTTCTGTGCAGAACTTACTCTGAGATATAATCAGAGATATCTTTTTCCTTTGGCAAACATACAAGATTGGGCTTCCTTAGAGATTTTCTGGAGGCCAGGATGATGAGGGGGTGGGGAAAAAACAATCCCACCCAGAATAAAGATGGTAGTTTTCGTACTACCATTCTAAAGTCGAACTTTCCCCAGTTTATCCTAAGTACTTTAAGGCATGGCATGTCAGGGTAGATCTGGCCCTTTCTGTTGCAGAAAAGTATTACACTGCTTTATGAACGTTGTCAGAATCCAAGCTGCATCACAATGAATTTAAAAGTAACTTGTGTGATTAGGTGACTGAACAACACATGTAAATAATAAATGTAAAAACATCTCAAGTTCTGTGCTGAATTGAGCCTTGTGGCTTTTTTATTGATGTGTGTGCATATATTTTTAGTTAGGTCAGTGATCAGTACAAAGCAGGATCTTGTCAACCTGCGGTGAAGATTGTCATGTGCTCTAGAAATACCTAATTTCTGGGAGAGGTTTCAGTTTAGCAAAAGAGAATGCTGTTTCTAAGAATTATTCTACTTGATGGTCCTTAAGGTCCTCAAATAACTTATCTAACCACCACAGGGGAGTTTGTACCAAGAGCAACAAAAAATATTCCTGTGATGTTGGTATAAGTTTCTATTTCTTCATCTATTTCTATGTCTTGATTCAGTGCAATGTTAGTATCTTATAATAGAAGCCATGCACGTGAAATGCCACTCTGTACTTTTTAGAAGTTCATCTTTTAACAGCCTGTAAAATACATATAAGCAAAGTGAGTAATGATGCATGGCCTGTTTGGAAACCTGTAAAACTCACCTGCACAATGAAAGCTGTGCAGAACTTCACCTGGTGAATCTTTACAATATTGTATGAAGATACTGGTTCCAGTCTCAGCAGTAAAAGTGGGGGGTTTGGCAGGGGGGGCTGTTTTGGGGGGTGTTTTGTTATTGTTTATTGTCTCTGCTGATGCAATGCTCTCCTTAGGCTAGTGAGCTAAGTTGCAGCTTCTTGACAGAGCTGTACTGCCGATAGCTTCAAAGCTAGCATCTTCAGTGCTGTTAATAAAGTCTGGGGGGGTTTTGTTTGGGGTTGGAGGGCTTACTGCTCAGTGGGGTTTTTTAAAGGTATTTCTTCATTTGCTGTCCTGTCTGGCTTGCAGGCCTAGTCAGAGATATGCCAAAGTGGAACTGTTTGTTCTGCTTTATCACTGCAATTAAGACTAATTATGCAAACGCAACATAGCCACAACATACACTTGTGCCCTGTTGCTGCTGAACGCTGCATGAGTATCTGTAAGTTACTGATGGGTCAAGTTTCAACACGTGTTGCACCATTTCACTCCATCGCTTTAGTTTGGAAAGTCAACACGCTGGAAAATTCTCAGTGGTATAACTGGGCATCAGTAAAACTGAAAATTTCAGTTGTGGTCCGAGGACTTGCTTCTGCTTTCTGTGGCTCCTTCACTGGCATGGATTTTACTAGTACAGAGGGATCGTGCTTTCTCTTCCAAAAGAAAGCTCATTATGATTTTCTTACAGCTGACCACTTGTCAGGGTCACATCTATATAGTTCATTTTTTTAACCTGAATTTCACTTTATTGTTCGTGAAAACTCATACCAGAAAGGGAAAATGCTTATTTTCTTTTTTTTTTTTTCTTCTTTCCTAATTTACAGGTCAACTTACTGAATTCTATTCATGACAACTTTCATCAGTAAGTAATACTCATTTTTATCTCGATAGTTGAAATGAGTGGCATGGTTGGTTGCAAAAAAGGGAGCAGGCGTGAGTTATAAAGTCTAAAAATTTGTTAGAATTTTTTATTAACTTCAACTGTTTTATAAAATAGTTTATTAATTCTGTTTAAGCCAATGGTTGAGGAGTCAAAGACTTGGAGTTACCTAACTTTTATAGCCAACATATGTTTTTAATATCTGTCGCTTCATTTGCTGTTGTGGAAAGAAATGATTCAGTCATAACTTTCCTGGCATTAATTTAAATATTTTTCTCCATTTTGTGAAGTTGTGGTTATTACATTATGTACAAAACATGAGACTGGGACATATTTCAGACATGTTTATTATAGACTAACTCTGTATTTAAAGGTTTTGATGAAGTGTGAAGTCTTTAGGTAAAATCATGGTTCTCTTGGAAGTCTGAGGTCAAATATCATTCTATGATGCAGCTGGCATTTATTTTTTTTTGTGGTTGTGGGATTTTTATTGTTGTTTTTCAGAAAAAAAGTCCAGTATGAATTTTTGTCACAGCAGTACAGCTCAGTACAGTCATGGGGGAGGAGATGGCCGTTAATTAGTTTTAAACAATTCTTTCTATTGTATCTTTTTATAATTCTGTTTTGAAATTACAATCTTCAGGGGTTTTTTGTTTTTGTTTGTTTTTCCAGAGTAATTAATTATCTCTTTGCTTACTTCTATACACTTGCATGTTCGGTCATAAGTTTTGATTATTTTTTTTTTTTAATGATTTTTTTTTTTCCCCATTGTGATGTCTGAAACTTTTAATTACAACAAAAAGCAGGAACTACTTATTTCAGATGTTTTTCCTTTGCAGCAGGGATTGTAGATCTGTTTTGCTCAGCGATGAGATCCTTTTGATTCTGTCCAGTCAGTAGAAACCAATGCTGTAATGGACAGCTGGGGTTTGGATTGGTTTGGGTTTTTTTTAAGTAGTTGTTGCAGGGAGGATTGTATTTTCTTTGATTTATTTTTCTTAGTCTGTTTAAGATGTGTTACAAGCCTAAAATTACTTCTGGGCTTTCCCTATTAGGGTGTGAAATTTTTTTTTTTTTTTTTAGAGTATTTACTGTTCTCCTAGTCCTCTACTTGACTTCTTAATATTCACAACAGCTACTGTTCTTAAAAATTTGTGCTTTTGTTTAGTTTATTTATGTACAACACATGAGAGAAAGGAACAGACTTGAACTGACAGGGAGAACGCTTGCGATGAGCTCTGTAGTCTCGTTTCCATCTCTGATAGTTTATACCAGCTGAAGAGCTGCACTGTTGCCTGGTTATTTTTTACACAGAACAGTAAGGAATGTGACTTCTTGGACACAAGTAAATGTACTAGACAACTGTAGATGAGACATGTTGTCCCACATCCCTGTCAGTTGTTATCTTTTTTCTTTCCAGAGCAATGGCATCTTCTGGTTCTCGTGAGCAGTTTTTACGGCAGATGGAGCAGATTGTAGAAGGCATCAAACAGAATCGAATGAAGGTCTGAGACTCTTCTGGCTTTCTTTGCTAGGACACAGCAAGTTCTGCTGCTGTGGAACTAACTGCTTTTGGGGGCTTTAGTGGATTCTTGCAGTTTTTGGAGCTGGATTTTTCCCTAACAAAATATAGGTATCAAAAACCTGTCAGAGGGAATGCAAAAATGATTTTTGGGGAGAGGAGTATGACGGGGTTTTTTTAATGTGTCTGTGCCCAAGCACCAGAGGGAGGGAAGGAAAATTTACTCTCAAGACTAACAGAAAACTTGTCTGTGATGCTGTGATGGAAAAAGTTCATTAGAACTACCCCTGAGAGGAAGGCAATCTGCTCTATAATAAGAGCCAATCCTCTTCATGCTCAGGGACCTAAATTATGTTTGTCACGACTTCGGCACGAGGAGAAAAGAGATTTCTTACATGTGGGTCTTGAGCAAGTACAGTATTGCATAGGAAGGCAGGGATGTCTCCTGCCCTCCCTGTTTGATACAACTAACATAAATAACCAAATCAAGATCTGTGTTGCATCAAAAACTTCTTTTTTTTTTTTTATTGTTAATTAATTTAACTGTGTCATCGTTGAGGTACAATTGTTCAGTGAGCAAAATTGCTGGCCTGCAGAGCTGCGAGCCTGAGTTTAATTCTGAATGCTACCTATAATGTCACTGTTACTGAGCCTTCAGCATTAGCTTTTTAATTTTTTTTAAGAGCTGGTCTAAATGTTTGTTGCATTTAAAGCACAAGCCAGGGGTGTCATTTATGAAGCATCTGTCTCCCATTGTCTATTATAGATGTTCCTTATACGGGATATGTGTGTGTGTGTATTCCTTGTACAGTGTCTGATCTCTTATCCTTCCTGTGTACCAACAGATGGAAAAGAAGAAGCAAGAAAACAAAATGCGAAGAGATCAGTTGAATGATGAATATTTGGAGCTTCTAGAGAAACAGAGGCTTTACTTTAAAACAGTGAAAGAATTTAAAGAGGTAAGAACTTCTTTTGCTAATGTAAACTGGCAAGTGTCCAGTGACCTGTTTTTGGCTTGACTTGTGCATTAATATACGCACAAGAGTTCCTAACATGGTATTTATCTCTTAGTTGTTATCTCCACATAATTTCTAGACCCTGAATTTGATTCTGGAAATTATTTTTCATTGTTAGACTATGTTACAAGGGAAGGATTAATTTGTTACTGAGCAAGCTGTTTATTTCGGCTTCTAAATGGAATCTCTTAAAGATCTATGAGCAGTTAGGTATTAGAGCAAAGAGGGTTGTGGAAATGTGTGTGAATAAGGGGGGGAATTCAGAGTCTCAATACTTACAAAGACCTTTAGGATCCAGCCTTGTTTTCTAACTACTGTGAAAATGGTTAAACACTTCATTGATTGAACCTTTCCCAAGCTTGTCATCATAATGTGCTTCTGTTAATCATTGTCTTCCTGATAATGGATGACAAAGTAGTGCTGCCAGGCAAAATTGTCATTTGGCTTCAGATGTTTGGGGGAAAAAAACATCTTTCTGTAATTTGTCCTGCTTTGTTCTGAGACAGTTCCTTCCTGTTTCAGACAGTATACTCTAGGAGAATGGCATGGACTGTTCAGCTACTCTTCTGACATATAGAATTTTATGTCCTAGTTGCAGAAGTTAGGTGGAATTTTTAAATTTTTTTTTTATGGAGGCATAAATAAACCATTTTCCTTCCACTGCCTTGTGAGAGAACTTCTACTCGACCTTGCTATCCTTAAAAATAAATGAAGTTGTGGTTGTGGTGTTGAAAACAGATTTTATGTACATACGTAAATACATTTCTTGACCTAGACTTGTTCCTGAACACTGACTTTTTTTTAAAACTGTCTTGTGAAGTTCCAGATCACCTAAAAGTAATCTCAATTTCAGATTTATTCAGTTTCTAAGTAAATTTCTAAGTGGATTTGCTGTAGCTACTTGTAACAACTTTAGACGAATGGTCAAGCAACGTTCCTTTTGGCTTAAATGTCAAAAGTTTAATTAATATTACCATGGGAATAACTTTATGGATGAATCAGAATTATCTTCAGCTCATCACTCACTTCAGCTTTGGATTTTGGAGATCTTTCAAAATAAAAAAGTTTAGTTTTGCTGATGTAAAGATATAACTAGTAGAGTTAAGAGCAACTACCTCCTTATCTGTTTGCTTTCTGTTAACAGGAATGTCGTAAGAATGAAATGCTGCTGTCCAAGCTGAAAGCTGGTTCTTCCTGAAGAACTCCAGCTGGTGAAGTTTATAGATGATTGTTCAGTCCATTGAATCTCTTTTGTGAGGTGAAAGTTAAAACTGCAATGTACATATATATAGATATATATATAAAAATATATATGCACAGAGCTGTAAAAGTCTGGTTTTTTTTCCCAGTATGTATTCAGTTTTACGTTCCTTCATCACACGGCTGTATTATTGATTATTGCCTCCACTACACAGTAAAGAGTTAACACAGTACAGCAAAATAGAAATATTGCCTAATTTTATTTATTTGGGTTTGTTTTCTTTCCCACAGTAAGGATAATGAGGGTTTTAACACTGAATTAGGTCAAGATTCTGGGAAAAGTAGATATGTACTGTGTAATATGTCCAGTACCACAAGACGAGCACTGCAGATTGCAGTGGTTGGTTAATTTTGGCCAAAAAACCCTGTAGAATCAGATTCTTGAAACTCTCTTCACCAGCTAATATCTTCACATTATTTTAATTTACCCTCTAGTCATAGATAAGATTCCAAAGGATAAATTTCTAATGGTTAAGACATAAGAAAATGGAAACTTACCTTGCATAATTCCTGTGTAAAATTATAGATCTATATTTTTATAAAGTATAGCTGTTGTATAAATTTCTTTGAAATTTCATTTTTTTATATATAGAGAGTGTGCTTGTTAAATTAATAGCTCCAAGGAAAAAACACCTTAATCACTAGGACCATCATGTTATCCCTGGCTGGGATGAAAATCAAAGTCTGCGTCATCTGTAATATAGGAGGACAAAGATTCAGACATTCTGCTCAAAGGAACTGATGCTCACCTTTGAAGACAACCTGTTTACCCTGCTGAAGATTTACCCTTGAAAGTTTAGAAACTTTGTGGAACACTTTCTGAAACATTTTTTTATCTGCATATACAGTATTTTATAAATCAAACAGTTGCTTTTTGTACTTAACATCAGGATTTTGGACTGACTTCTTAATGTACATTACATCTCCAGGAGAAGAAAAAACACCTTTTTTTTTCCCCAGTAACGCTGATGACAGTGCTGTTCAACTACTTTCTATGGCAACAAATATAAAATAAAGAATGTTTGGAATCCAGTGACTTTCTGCTATTAAGTTTTTAAGGTGGTACTTGCTTTAGAAGCCTTAAGATGCTTTTGAATTGTGGGTGCATTAAAAGATGAGTTGTGTCAATGTTCTCTCATAAGGACGTTTTCACGTGTCACACAGCAATCAGTAACGTTTTGTTTTCTCTTGCTGTGTTTGGTAAGCTTGGTGTTTTGGTATTTGGCAGAAACTATCAAACCTGATATGTGCAGAGGTGATCCATGGAAGGTTATATTTGTCTTCCATAGGTGTCTGCTCAAGATACAGAAGTCTCAGTGGAGACGGTACAAGTTCCTCACTCTACAATACCTGATTCCACTTGTTTTTAAACACAACGGAAGGTTTGACATCAGCATGTGAATTTATACAGACTCTGTGGCATTGAAAATGGAGAAGTGTAGGCATTTGTTAAGCCTTGCATGAGGATTTTGTTGATGTTCTGTCCAAGTAAAATGCAGTCAGCAACCAGAACTGTGGTAGACTAGGTTCGATGGGATGTACCTACTCATAAATGAGACTGTTTTTGTGACAACTTGAAATAATTTTCCTGTTTATTTAGTTGTTGCGGGTGAAAGTGGAAGGAGAATCTCTGTCAAATCTCTGGTATTAGAGAAAGGTGATTTTAATCTGAATTTGTAGAAAAGTGCAACTTAACAGAGTTTGATGGCAAGGTTCACTCTACTACTTTTTCCATGGAAAAAGCGGAATCAAATTAGAATTGGGTTAGAATGTTTTACATGTGTGGTCGGAAAATTGAGTCAGAGTTGTGTTGGAGTGATTTATACAGGGATCGGGGAAGGAGGATAAGGAAGGCTCTCCCATTGGGACACAAGGTTTAGAGTGGACCCCCTTGCTTTCTCAACCCCTTGTCAGAGGAGTCTTGGTGTGACTGAATTCACTTCTAGTCCCAGACTTGATCAGGAGTTATATCTAAAAGGGTGAGGTGCAGGAGCCTCAAGGTAGTGCTTTAACATGTGATTATGTGCTTTGTTTGACTTCGGGGTAGCAGCAATTTAAGGTTCATTAGCACTATTATTGTAAATCATATTGGATTATATGATTTTCTAACAGACCTAATTCATCAATAATCACCAATTGATTCATAAAGTTCCTTACATCAAATTGCATACCATGCACTTCTGAAAAAAATAACTCGAGTGGACATTTCAATTTGAGTTTTATGATTTTCATCAAAATTGCTTTAGTATCAAGCAAAATTTCCTAGTTAGGGTAAATAATGAATTTACATGTAGAATAAATGATATGATTATTTGTTCAGTATAACATTAAACTTCATGCTTACCTGTTACAAACACAGCAACCTGGAAACTTCACCATGGAATATAAAAGCATTAGATCCATTGCTCCAGATAGGAGCCAGTGATTTTGACTAAGATATAAATCTGGGGTTTGTGAAGTTCCAGCTGTTGCTCATAGAAAATAAATCAGCGTCCAGATTATAGCTTACTGTAACGAGTCAATTTCTTTCTACAATAGACTGAAATCCAGGGCAGATGGACACTGTCTTTGCTTTCAGACCCCGGCACGAAAGCGAGAGGAAAGAAGCTGGAGAGGTATGGACAATGTTATGCTGGCTATTCCTTGCTGTCTGCCACAGGTTGTGTATGTTTGGGTACCGTTTCTTTTCATACCTGAAATCAAAATGAAAGAGGCAAAATCAAAATGAAAGAGGCACTTCTGCTAATGGCCTACTTAACTGGATGACTGTCAGGCTTAACCATTAGATCAGGCTGTGCCCAGTCAGTTTTAGTGTGGAGGGACAAGTACACATCGTGCTATGGCTACTTGTGGGAAGGTGATTTTTGGGAACTGTATCCAAGATGCTTTGACACTATGAAAATGACAATCCTACTAAACAGAAACCACTGGGAGAATTTTGGCTTCCACTGAAATGATGACAGCTGTTTGTCAGAGTGAAGGGCAGTATCAGGAGGTAACTTCTAAGTGTTTTCAGGGAAAGGATGGCAGTGCTTTAAAGTCATTATTTTCATTTAAGTCAGTGAACTTCGATATGTACCTTATCTTTGTTGGAGATTTGAGGTCTTTTTGCATAACTATTACATTAATTTTTTGATCTACAGAATTAAAGACAGTGCCCACAATTTGGTGACTGGAGCTGTGCAGCTGAGGCACTAAATTCTGAGAGTGTAGATGCTTGTATGCCAAGGACTATGCAAAGCTGTAGCAAGCAGAATCTGGCCTGATTCTCCATTTCAGCTGGTTGCAAAGGAGTTTCTCAGAATTTTACCTCACAGTATTGCCGGATTTCTTTGACTGTTAAAAGAGAAAGATCTTGACTTGAATTCTTTTGGTGTTACTAGACTTGTAAAATAACATTTACAGGACTTGTAGCAAAACTTTTTTTTTAATTTGATAGAGCCTGCTCAAAGCTTTAATTTGCATTTCAGTAAATTTAATTATTTTGATATGCTGATGAATAAACTGCTGTAAAGTAAGTCTGCTCTTTGTTTCAGAAGCTGAGACAGTCTCTGAACTTAAGGCATACACTTGCCTTTTAGAGCATGACAGCTTGCTTTAAACACAGTTACACAAGCACAGTTGTAAAATATCTTTTGAGAGCAAGATCAGTGACATACACCTGATCCAAGCACGACAAAATCCAGACAATCTTCTTGTTACAGTATATCAAGATGTATGCAGCCCTGCACCTAGTCACTATTGATCTGAATAAAAGAGAAGCTTGGGAGGCAAGGTAAAATGTGACTATTTTCTTTAAGGTTTCTTCCCTTTTTCCTCTTTATTTAATGAAAAAAATTGTTTATTGAAGTGTGACCTCAGTGTGTAGGTTCCTGAACCAAACAGTGTTTGATGGGGGGAGAAATACATGACAGGCAAAAGCATTTAAACTTTGCTGAAATTTATTTAGAAACATAAAATTATTTGCATGAGAGAAAGAGTATAACTTCTTTTAGGTCCCACTTTGTATATAGCTGCTGGTACTCGTGCAAAGCAGACAGCTGGAAATTTGTGCTTTGCTGGTCCACCCACCTCCTTAGCACCAGCTTTGCTAAATTAGGCGTGTAAGTAGGGCACGCGTAGAAGGTGGTACACTAATCTTACTCCTCTGGGTGGTGGATGACTTACTCTTAGGATAGTCTTTTATCTAAAAAATGTATGAACACAAGCCTGTGTATTCATGCAGTGTCTACACAGCCACGGCTGCTGGCTATGCCAGCTCAGCCAGCTGGCATCGGAGCTGCTCAGGCTCTGGTCCCTGGAGGCAGGGCTGGTGGCCGCTTCACAGCGTGTTCCTGTAATCAGCTGCTGCTCATGCCTGGTGTCCTGGTGACTGTGGTACAGACTAGCTTACAAGTTGCTGCTCGCAGGGTTTTGCCAACATGTATTCTCAAGGCCAAACCCTTCATCTCTCTTCATATCAGTCTTCATGTAGGAAGGGCTTGGGAATTCCCATGCGCAACAGCTATTTAGAAGCAGAGACTGAAGTATGGTTGGAAGATCGGGAGCTCCTGGGTACAATAGTAAATTACTGAGGAGCTGTCATTGTGGAAGCTGCAGCATGGATGTGGGTTTCACGGAGCAAGGAGGAGCATAGAAAGCTGTTAGTGTTTTCTGGTCACTTTCATCTTCCAAAGCTCTTTGATTTCTGCACGATCTGAGATTTCAACAGCACAACAAACAGACCTGAATTTCAGTATAGCTGGAGGGTCCTCAAAGCCTTGCTGCAGGGTAGACAGTGCCTTTCTACTGAGCAGTTGTCTCCAGTGAGTTCTTCCAGGAGCAGATTCAGTGTTAGGAGATAAAATGAAAACTAGTGGTCCACTGTGTACAAGCAGAGATGACTGGTGTACTCCAAATGGGCAACTTGTATTTGGGGAAATAAATGACATCTAAGCACTGCTCAGTGATGTTTCTTTGGAATAGCTGATTTTTATTCTTTTTTTTCTATTTGGATATTTAAGATACTATCTCATTTATCTTAGTACACATGGGAGTTGTGTTTTCTGTATTTTCTTTGGTCCATCTTGAAGCCAAGGATAACAACACAGCAATAACGTAAGATCTAAACTCTAGTGCTTGAAGTGACAGAAAAAGGAATGCTTTCATGCCTGATTTTACTGTTCCCTTTTTTTTCAATTAAAGTTGCAAGTCTTAATAACGAGAGTAATTAATCACAGAAATAAAGTACCAAGGGAGGTTGAAAATTATCCACAGTTCCAACTTTTTTTAATCAAGGTTGATGACTCTCCAGCAGTTACGCGCCCGTTGCACCAAGTTACAGGGTTTGGCACACGAATCTGTGGGTGAAAGGCTG